CAAGCAAACAAGCAAGCAAACTCCAAAATTGGAACCAGAACAGAAAATCAGTATGAGGGGGAAGAGGACAGCTGGAGAGATGGCTCAGCGGTTAAGAACACTGATTGTTCTTGCAGAAGACCCGGGTTCGAATCCCAGCACCCACATGGCAGCTAACAACTATCCATAACTCCAGTCCCAAGGGATCCAACAGCCTCTCTTGTCCTCCATGGGCATCACACAACACGGGTGCACTTACCTACATGCAGGCAATACACGCATACACATAAAATAAATTTTTTAAAAAAGGGGAGAGCATATTGCTCTTGCAAAGCACCTGGGTTCAACTGCCAGCACCCACATCAGGTGGCTCACAACCACCTATAAACTCCAGCTCCAGGAAGATCTAATGCCTTTGACCTCCATGGGCACACACCCGCACATATTGACAAATAAATCTTAAAAAAAAAAAAAAAAAAATTCAGGTTATCCCTTTTCACACATGAATTCAGGTGTAGAGTTGCAGGTCTTGTTTTGCTTTCTAGGTCTTCACTGGGATCATATGCTTGTGCCACTATGCCCAGCTGCAGTTGTCTTTGAGATGGTGGGGAGTTTTGTCTGTGTTGGAGAATGGTGCACTTTGAGGACAGTTCTCCCTGGTATGAATGACTGCCAGCTTCTCTGCCAATTACAGCTTTGTCCTCGCTGTAATCTTCCCAGCTTCTAACCTCATCCAGTCTAGAAGAACTTTTTAAAAAAAAAAAAAACTTATTTTCACTTTTAATTTATGTATATGTCTATAGGTATGTGCACGAGTACAGGTGCCCACAGTGGTCAGAGGCAGTGGCTCCCCCTGGAGTTGGAGTAGCCACCCAATGTGGGAGCTGGGAATTGAACTGGAGTCCTTTGCAAGAGCAGTCTGTGTTCTTAACCACTGAGTTACCTCTCCAGCCTGGAACCAACTTTCTTGAACCCTCCCACAAATCATCCTCTTCTGGTGGGGGGGGGCTGTGTGTGTATGGTGTATACACCTGCATGTGAGCGTGCAAATGTGCCATGGTGGTCAAAATATACTGTATATATGTATGACATTAAAAAATTAAAATATTACTTTTAAAAAGTAAGAAAACCCAGGCATGGTGGTGCATGCAGTCATGAAGATCTCTGTGAGTTCAAGGCCAGCCAGGGAGGGAGGGAAGGGGGGAGGGAGGAAGAGAGAGAGAGAGAGAGAGAGAGAGAGAGAGAAACCAAGAATTAGATCTACTATTTTCCAATCTACAATGAAGTAATAGACCTGAAAAGTGATCATCGGGGATTTTTAAAGCCATTAGCTTAATGTTATTTAAATTATATTCATCTGCATCCAAATTATATTATTTACAAAATCCACTGATTGTGAAAACTTGCTGTTCTCCAATATTCACCCATACACCTTACATAGTTTAGCTGGTCATCAATGCCCAGCATAGACTACTTTCCTAGCCTCCTTGGCAGGTATGTGTAGTCAAATGACCAAGTTTTAGCTATATTCAGTGAGGTAAGTAATGTGGTATCTGCAGGGAGCATCCCTGTTAACCCTTCTCAGTACTCGAGTACTCTCAGTACTCTTCAATCCTGTTTGCCTGTATTACAGCACAAGCACCTTGGTTCATGAACCCAGATGACACACAGGCACATTGACCAGGTCTGGGATACCACAGAGCACCACAGCCCTGGGCTATTTTCTCGTTGACATAATGGAGAAGTAAATGTGGAATCAGGACACTCAAAGCAAACTGAGTCTGGAAAAGGAAAGGGGGAAGGAGTGGGGAGAAAAGAGGAAAGGGCAGGTAGGAGGAAAGTGACGGAAGAGAGAACAGTGAGCAGGATAGGAGGAAAGCCACAAAGGAAGTGAAGAGCTGAAGGAAGAAGGGTAGAGGAAGAGGTAGGTGGAAGAGAGAAGGAAGAGGAAACTGGAGGCAAGGGGGAAGTACAGGGAGGGGGAGGTACAGAAGGGCGGCAGAAGAGGGTAAGTTGGAAGCTTTAGTTCTGATGCTTTTGGGCATGAGTTATAAAAAACTAATTGAGGGCTGGCAAGATGGCTCAGCAGGTAAAGGGAGCTGCTGTCAAGCTGAGAGTCTTGAGTTTGATCACCAGAACCCACAGTTCCTCCATACGTATGCTATGGTATGCACACATGTCCACACACACATACATATACATACTAAATAAAAATAAAACAAAATTTAAAAACAAAGACTAATGGAAAGAAATTATTTTGAGTATGAAGTTCACAGACAGGACAGGCATAGGCACAGCAGGTAAAACAGAGCTCTGGATCAAGACTGATCTATTGTATTGTATTTAAGACACGGTCCTGGGGATGGGGGTTGGGGGTGGGTCTGGGAGGAGTGAGGGGGAGGAATGGAAGGTGAATATGATCAGAATACATTGTATGAAATTCTTACCACATCAGGGCCGTACACTCCATGGTAGAGCACTTGCCTAGCATGTCAGAGGTCCTGGGTTCCATGCTCAACATTGAACAAAAGTAAAAACAAAGGCTACTATACCCTCAGCTGTATGCATCAACAGAACATCCCCCAGAGGAAGAGGGATTTCCTTCTATGTCTCTTAGACGTAAATCATTCTTTTTCAGAAGCGACCCATGCTTCCCCATCTTACTTGCCAGAATGACACCATCCATTACCAAAGTAATCACAGGCAAGGAGACAGGATTTCCAGATCTAACTCTGGAACTGGATGTGGGGTCACACACTCCTATATCACAGAAGGAAGTACAGCTATCAGCTACTTATGATTAGGTAAGCTGGGCATTGCACAAATCCAGACCACTTTCATGTGCACAGTCACTTTCAAAAATGTCCAGCAGATGGCAGTAAGGTGTTTGGAGGGGGAAAAAAAAAAATTCTGATTCAGTTAAATTTAAAGGGTCAAATCAGCCTTCCCTGTCTGTGGATTTGGCCAACCACAGACAATGCTCTGATAGGAACAGTTTTTACATTATCTCCTAAACAACACAGTAAGACAATTATTAGAGAGCGTTTATACTGCATTAAACAATTATTCTAGAGATGATTTAAAGTGTGTGGGTGTGTATAAGTTATTAGCAAGTAGTACGCCCTTTTCTATAAGGGACTCCATGGATCTGTGGATTTGGGTATGGGGATCCTGTTCCATTGCCAATCCCCTTCAGATGCCAAGGAAAAACCAGTTACTGTAGATAATCTAACACAATTCTGTTAGAAAGAAGATTGGGGTGAATGTGGGAAATGAGTGTTTAGTAAGTGCGGATCTCTGTAACAGGGTAAATCATCTAATTTATTATAAATCTTTTAAAAATTATACTTGGCAAATTCTATTTTAACAAAATAATGCATTCCAAGTTAAAGAAACTTTCAAAAATCTAATTCTGCCCTGTGTGATGGCAAATGCCTTTAGTCCCAGCACTTGGGAGACAGAAGCAGGCAGATCTCTCTGAAATTGAGACCAGCCTGGTCTACATAGTGAGTTCCAGGCTAGTTGGGGAGACCTTGTCTCAAAAAACAAAATTAAACAAACAAAAAAACAAAACAACAACAATAAAGATCCAAATTCAATTTCAAGGAAGCCTGAAAACAAACAGGCATTCAGATACCCAAACCTGAACTATTCCTTATGTTCACTACCAATAAAAAGCCTGAAATAAGGGGGCTGGAGAGATGGCTCAGTGTAAGAGCACTGGCTACTCTTGCAGAGGACCCAGGCTCCGTTCCCAGCACCCACATGGCGGCTAACAACTATCTGAAACTCCAGTTCCAGGGGATCCAACGCTGTCTTCAGACCTCTGTGGGCACTGTACGACTTGGATGCACTTACATACAAGCAGGCAATACATTCACACATACAATAAAACAAAAATAGTAAATTTTTTAAATGCCTAAAATAAAATGCCAATATTATCTACTGTACTTTATTTACTTAAGACAAGGAGTTGGGGGAAGGTGGGAGGTGGGTCTGGGAGGAGTTAGGGAAAGGAGTGGGAGGTGAATATCATCAACATACATTGTATGAAATTCTCAGAGTTAATATTTTAAAAGACAAGGTCTCATGTATTCTAGGTTGGTCTCAAACTATGTAGGTGGGAATAGGCATCAGCTATGATGATCTTCAATTTCTGATTCTCCTGCCTCCATCTCAAGTGCTGGTATTACAGGCGTGCAACATCACATCTGGTTTTTATCGAACTTAGAACCTCATACACAGCAGGCAAGCACTCTACCAATTGTACTGCAGTCACTGCCCTATTTTAAGATTTATTTTATTTTATTTATTTATTTATTATTTATTTATTTATTTGTATTTGGTCTTTTTGAGACAGGGTCTCCCTGTAGCCCCAGCTGCCAGCTGTCCTGGAACTCACTATGTAGACCAGGCTAGCCTTGAACTCACAGAGATCCGCCTGCCTCTGCCTCCCGAGGGCTGGGATTAAAGGCGTGCGCCACCATGTCTGGCTGATTTATTTTTATTTATGTGTATATGCCTATGTATGAGCATGTGTGTGTGGGTACCCATGGAGGCCATCAGAGGGCACTGGATCCTGGAGTTACGGGCAGTTATGAGCCACTGTGTGGGTGCTGGGAACCAAACTCAGGTCCTTTGCAAGAGCAACAAGCACTCTTAACTGATGAGGTATTTCTTTAGCACCTATTTTTGTTCTTTTTTTTTTTAAGACTAAAGTTTCACTCTGTGGTCCAAAATGGCCTGACCCTCCTGCCTCTACCATCTGAGTGCTAGGCTTACAGGTATGTGCCATCACACTTAGTACTCAAAATTGATTTTTATAAAAGCAACAGTTTATAGGTCAGACTCTATCCTCTCTCTGTAATATTAAATTATTATAGCATATCAAAAGTAACTGAGCTGGAATGTGGCTCAATGGTGGAGAACTTGCCTAGCACATACATGGTTCTGGGTTTGATCCCCAGCACCACACCAAAGAAAAAAAAAGATTAGAAAAAAAGGAAGAGAATGACTACAAGTTGAGACAAGCTATCATCAAATATTGTGCAGCCTGATTATGAGAAAACACAACGACAAGAAAAAAGTTATAAATGGTAATGCAATAATCAATGATCTCATTCTTGTCATTGCTGTCATCTTTACATCATATCAAAATTGTGCAAATAACTGTATGATATAAAAGTGCAAGAGCTTCCACTGGATCCATTTCTGTTCAATGGATCAATAATATATGCACCGTGTGCGATGAAATGGAACTCCTTTCATGTCGTCCCTATGGTCTCGGGCATAGTCCCATAGGTAATAGTCCAGAAGAATGGAATTGATCTCTCCATTAGGCTTTTCACCCTTCTCTTTAATAAGCTCCAGAAGACAATCCCGGATCAGCTCAACACACCAAATCGAGCACCCTCTTATTTCTACCTCTTGAGTGTCTCCATATGAAAGCATTTCTCCTGCAAGAATTTGAAAACAAAGAGGGAAATACATCACTTTGAAACCTAGCCTCTATGGCAAAATTACAAATTAAGTTCACAATGACAGAGCTATGTCTGGCTTTCTAGTCTCAGTATTCCCAGGACCCAATACAGCACCTCATACCTAACAGCTCCTCAAATAAATATTTTTTAAATGAAGACATAGCAACCCTCAATTTAAAAAATATGACAGCAGGCTAACCTATAGCACTCATGGGCATAGAATCAAAGGAATTTTTTTTTTTCTTTGAGCAGTGTCTCAGGTAGCCCTTGTTGGCCTGGAACTCACTATGCAGACTAGGCTGGCCTTAAACTCAGAGAGATATACCTTCCTGGGTGCTGGGATTAACAGTGTTTACTACTCTCAACCTAAGGACTCTACTTTTTTTAAGATTTATTTTTTTAATGTATGTGTGCATACATGTATGTAAGTCTACCACATGCATTCAGTGCCCACAGAGGCCAGAAGAGGGAGTCTGATCTCCTGGAACTGAAATTATAGATGGTTGTGAGCTGCCATGTGGGTGCTGGGAACCAAACCTGAGTCTTCTAGAAGAGGAGGAAGTGCTCTTAATCACTGAGCCATCTCTCCAGCTCCAGAGTCTCTAATTCTTAACCACAGAGATACCTGCACACCCATTTTTACTGCTGCTTTATTCACAATGGTTAGGATATGGAATCAGCCTAGTCTAAAGAAGAATTTTCTTTAACTTTATTATCCAGTCTAGATTACGTCTCTAGAGGAAAAGGAGAAAACTTGCTTAATAAGTTACACAGTTTGCTGATCCAGTTTAGTCCTTTTTTGTTTCTGCTGTGTTCTAGCAGAGGTTGAATCTTTTGATCTTCTGTGAACTTCAAAACGTCCTTGAACTAAGACACTCTATTAATCTTTTTCTCAGACTATGAGGTAGAATTGACAGAAATAATTTGTCACTGCTCTTGAGCAGAACTTGTCTGAAGCAGAATGTCTCTTGTTATTTTGAGGAATGCTTATCATAATTTGGGGATCATTCTTCAAACCAAATGGAATACTTTTTCTTATTTTTGCTAGTTCTGAAACTAATTTAGTCTCACCTTTTCAGAATGCTTTCTATCTTGAAAAGAATAAAGTATATTCTGACCATCTGCAGTGGAGTCCTTAAGTCCCCAAACTGCTACAAAGTTCCTTTAAAACTTTCTGGTTGCCTTCCTTCACTTCCTACTTCCTGCTTATTATTTTACGGGGAATGATCAAAAAGTGAGCTCACAACTTTCCTTCTTCGCTCCTTCTCTTCAAGAATACGATAAGATCACCAACTTCCTCAGACTGAATCTCTAGCATTTGTCTTCCTTTGATTCTAGTTTATTCATTATGGCCAACTTTAGCTGCTGTGCATTATGTCCCTGAAAAGCTCAGAATCATTTCACAAGCCTGAACTAAGCAGGAAATGGAGGCAGGCTGCTCCAATGTACCACTAGGACTCCACTAAAAGATACTCTGGCCCCTGTAGGAGAGGCTACAGTCTCAAAAATGGCTCTTGGTTCTGGGCAGGACCAGGCAGGGCACCTGGAAGCCAGCGGAGGGGTGGGAGGCCTGGCACACTGCACCCAACCTGTGATCTCAAGTACTGCTGCTTACCCTTTCTCTCCAACTTCCCTATGAGCTCAGGCACTGGCCAGGGGAGAAGAGAGGCTCATGGGGCTTTTCTTCAACTTTCATTGTCAGAGTGCTAGCACACACAGAAACCCAAGCTTTCCTCTTCTACTGTCCTGTTTATCAGTTCCTTCAAACTTGACTGTCATTTGCTAAAACTTCCAAGTCAACCTAGAGAGTAACCCCGGAGGCAGAAGCTATCACCCGAAGCCATTACACAAGACTGCTGCCCCAGGTGACAGCATGACTGCAACCTTGACCAGGGGAACCCAGCTAAAGTACCTAGGCTCCTGACCCATACAAACTGGAAGACAGTGGATGTTTCTTATTTTAACCACTAAATGCTAACATAATGTGTTACACAGTAATATGTTACAATGGTGGGTCAAAATATGTTCTCAGAAAAGAGAGCACTGAAGTCTTAAACTTACATGTGAATGACATCATTTGAAAATGGGGGGGGTTAAGCGTGGGGGTGGGGGCATGCCTGTAGTCCTAGCTACTTGGAAGGCTGAGGCAGAGGCTCTTAAATTTGAAGCCACCTGGGCTACATAATGAGACCTTGCCTCAAAAAAGATCAGCTGAATACAGCTATTTGGAAAGAAAAAAAAATCAAAATCCTGATTGCTAAATGTGCCTTTTAAAGGTATCCAAGGGTTCCTGTAGTTCAAGGGGTAAAGGAGCCTGCCACCATACCTAAAGAACTGATTTCAATCTTCAGAGCCCACATGGTAGAAGGAGAAAACCAACTCCCATAAGTTATCCTTTGATCTCCACATACACACCATGGCATGTATGTTCACACACATACATACATGCATGCACAGACATGCACATAAAATAAATATATATTTAAAAAAAAAATTAAAGGTGTCCAACAGTCATCTTGGATGTGAGCACAGTATATCATTTTTCAAAAGAAGAAAGAGACATCAGAAAGGACTGCCCAAAGCAACGTAAAAACCTGGTGACTTGGGTTCACCACTGTGGTAGCGTCTGGCTCATTAACTAAGCATCTTCAGGCTAAATGTATGGAGTGTCCTCTGGTTTGTCAGGGCAGTCACCTGCATTTGTTGAACTAACAGGAGAAAAGATCTGTGGAGACCCCCAGGAGCAGCTTTAAATCTGTTTAGTTTGTAAATTCTCTATTCCTATTTCTTCTTTTAATTCTCCTTTACTAGAAAAATTCACTTTATTATAGTATGTCACAAAAATAGGATGAAATTTGTTTATTAATCTAGGGGCCAAACTGTTCACATGGTCAATGCCTATACCAAACTGTCCTGTGAAAAACAGATAAATGACCGGGTGATTGAAAATTAAAACAAAAGCAAAAATTTGAAGAATCCAGTATAGGAATAATAATTCTGTGTTATCTGATTTGGAAAGATTTAAATTTATTTCATGAGAAAAAAATGATTCAATCATAAAACTATTTTGTTTTAAAAACAAAGAAAAAAGAAGAAACTCCTCTACCTAAGAAATAAATTAACATGAAAATGAATGAAAAAAAGTCATTCTCATACAAACTTCTCAACCTAATTTACCTGTTTTTACATATAAAATGCCCAGTCAGTTATGTCTATAATTATACCCAATAATGACAAATAAGTAAGCCTAGAGGAGAGCAATTTGTGTAAGTTAACTCAGTGGCAGATCTTAGAGTCTCCTGACTCAAAATTCAGTACACATCACCTCTCTCTGATCCCACCTTTATATCACGATGTAGTGTACTTAGCTTAATTAGCATGCACCAAATACTACACCTGTTTCACACATCTCCACAGATTTCATTCTATTAAGCTCTAAAATTGTAATGTATACAATTTTCAATAAAGTCCATATGCCACAGGGTTCATAAGAAACATCATTTTCTCTATATTTCAATTACCCTTGCATTTTTTTTATATGTTTGAATACCTTGCCAGCATTTAAAGCCAACATGTGCATGCAATGTCCATGGAGACCAGAGGGAAAGAGTTGGACCCCCTGGAAATGGAGTTATAGATGGTTGTTAGCTGCCATGTGGCTGCTGGGAACTGAACCCAGGTCCTTTGCAAGAGCAACAAGTTCTCTCAACCACTGAACCATCACTCCAGCCCCCTTGCATTTTTCTTTATTCTTATTATACATACACTTGAAAAAAAAAACAAAAAACAGATAGGATCTTGCTATGTAGCCCAAGCTGCTCTTGAACTTAAAACCCTTCTGCCTCTATTTTCTAAGTGCACGTACCCATCACTTATCTGAGTGTGTGTGTGTGTGTATGTGTGTGTGTGCGTGTTTGTATTTTTAAAGCAGAGTTTGTGAAAGAAACTAAACAGAGACTCAACAACAAATCATAGAAGAGCAAACAATGACTTAAAGTTGCAAACCTTTGAGAAGCTTCTTCAGTAATTCATCAGAATATTTCAGGGCTCCAAGGTAAACAAGAATTTGAGGCACTCTATAATCAGCAAACATAGTGATGCTGGAGATATCCTCAAAGCAGCCATCTCCTTTTCCTTCTAACACACTCCATGTGTCTGCCACAAGGATTTGAGCTCGTTTGTAGAAAGAAATGTTTTTGCCCTAATGAACAGAATATATATGTATATATTATCATGGTATCCAAAATGTTCATAAGCACTATTTTAAAAAGGCTGTTGTGGAAAACATTGTTTTTCCTAGAATACAATAAATCTTATTCTGGTGGTAAGAATTTATAAACTTTTTACAGAAAATAAAAGGATCAGACCAGCCAGATGGCCCAGTGGGTTAAGGCATCTCCTGCTAAACCTGATGACTGGAGTGCCATCCCTAGAACCCACATGGTAAAAGGAAAATGACTCCCATATGTTGTCCTTTGACCTCTATGAGCACAGTATATGCTATGGTCACACACCTTTGATCTCAGCACTCTGAAGGCAGAGGTAGGCAGATCTGAAGAATTGGAGGCCAGCCTGGTCCACATATATATTACAGGGACCACGGCACGAGAACTAGTCTAAAACAACAACAACAACAAACCCAATTCTTTAAAAAAAGACCCAATTAATATTATCTCCATCACTCCAAATTCATTTCCTATTTTTCAAAAGATGCACAGAATATAAATTATATAATTCTGGTACCATTCAGTATTTATTTTTTTCTTTTCTTTCTTTCCTTTTTTTTTTTTCTTGAAGTTCTAAGGATCAAATACTGGGCCTCATGCATACAAGGTACACACTCTACCAACTGAGTGACAACCCCAGTTCTTAGTATTTATTTTCAATGTTATTACTACACACACACAAACACACAAACACACACACACACACACACACACACACAATGACACTAAAATCCTGTTATTATTTTTCATATCTAGACAGTATTGTTTTTGAAAATTTACTTAATTGAAAATATGCTTTTCTGAGGTTGAGGACATAGCACAGCGGCAAAGTACTTGCTTCATGCACAAGGCCCTGAGTTCGATTCTGAGCACTGAAAAAAAAGAGAATGCTTATTTGATTGGAACATAATTCATATGACTGTATAAAATAATGAAGAGTATGAAGAAAATAATCATCCTTGAATTTCTGTCTGAAGAAAATCAAAACACTGATTTTTTTA